GGCTCCTGGGGCACCGTGTGTGACGACGGCTGGGACCTGGCGGACGCGGAGGTCGTGTGCCGCCAGCTGGGCTGTGGTGGGGCCGTCGCCGCCCTGGGGGCCGCCGCCTTTGGCCCTGGCTCCGGACCGGTGTGGCTGGACGAGGTGGGGTGCCGGGGCAGCGAGGCGTCCCTGCGGGGCTGCCCTGCGGAGCGGTGGGGACGCGGAGACTGCGCGCACAAGGAGGACGCGGGCGTGCGCTGCTTGGGTGAGTGGGGCCGGGGGAGGGCTGGGAAGAGGGGCGCCGGTTGAGTCCTGTGGTGGTCTCCGGCCCCTTTCCCCTCAAGCGGATCCCCAGCACCCAGCCCTGAGGCTGCCCAAGGCGTGGTCCCTTGTGGGTGCTCCTGGCCGGGCTGCCGGGGACCAGTCCTGTCCGCTCAGGCTGCGTGGGCTGGGTGAGGGTCTGTGCGGCTCAGGGCTGTAGCTGCCTCCCCATCCCGGTCCTCACCTGCCACCGTTTACTGCAGGTTCCCCGGAGACCACTGTGCTGCCCCTGCCGCCGCTGGGTAGGTGGCTCTTTCTCATGCTCACCCCCCCTCCTGTATGTCGAACCCCGCAAGGACCTGCACTGGGGCTCAGGGCTGACCATCACGACCAGGACACACCCCCCTCTCCCTGTGCCCACCTGAGTGAATATATGGGGATCTGGGGATGTGGAGGACAGAGACCCCAGGCCCCACACAGCCACTTCTCTGGGGTCTTTGCCTTGGTGGCTGCGGGGGGCTTGGCCCTCGAAAGCTGTGGCCCCTTGGACCCTAGGTCTGTGTTCAAGGCAGAGCTGAGGGCAGTGGGCAGTCAGGATGCTAAGCGCATTCCACAGGCCTCACCCCCTCCCAGATCATCCTCTGATGCTCCTATCTGGGCCCACATACCTGCATTTTCCCACCTGTGCCTTCCACCTCAGCCCTGCACTCATGCCTCCCCACCTGTGCCCTCCCAACTGTGACCGCTCTCTGGGCCTACACAGCTGGATTTGTCCACCTGTGCCCTCCCACGTGGGCCTTCCTCCCTGGTACCCACTATCTGGGCCTACAGGCCTCCTGGATTCTCCCACCTGGGCCCTCCACCTGGGCCTCTCGTGTGGTGGCCTCGACCTCCACGGTGTCTCTCCACGGGAGGAGCGCCCGTTCAGGCAGCACAAAGGCCCACCTCTCCTGGGGTGGCCCCATCCCTGTGAGGCTGAGGTCCCCCAGGGCCAGGGTCACAATGGCCCAGGCAGCCCAGGTGCACAGCAGGCCCCGCCTCTCACTGTGCCCCACAGCCCCTCCCTTGACCCCTCCACCTGCCCACAAGGCCTGGGCCCTGCCTGAGATCACCTGCCTGGTCCTTGGCTCCCTCCTGGGCATCATCTCCCTGTTCCTGGGCACGCAGTGGTGCCGCCGCAGAGCAGCCTGCAGGGGTAGGTGGGTGTGCCCAGGTGTGGTGAGCAGGGGCCTGGGGTGGGGAGGCTGGGGGGCATGCTCTGTGGGCCCTGTCATTGCAGACCCTTTCTGTCCTGGTCACTGCCCTGCATGCTAAGTGGCCTTCCCCATGGTGACTGCTCAGTGACTCTCCGTCTGGGCCTCAGGGACCCTGAGTCTGAGTCTTGCTTTGCCCCCGCGATGTGCTGGATCAAGGAAATCCACACTCCCAGGGCTGCCTGGAGTGAGAACGGACTTCAGGATTCTGCTGACCCTTAAGACTTATGTCCAATGGGGGCTTTCCTGGGTGTGTTCAGAGGCAGAGGCCACCGGTCCCACCCTAGGACCACATTCCTGGGGGCCCTGAGTAGAAAGTGGCCTCTGGCTGGGGGGTCTTTGCCGTCTGTGGGGGCTGCTGACAGAGGAGCCAGGGGTGCTCCTGGTGTGCATGAGAGACCGCAGGGGCCAGGCAGGGTGGGCTTGGACTGCAGGAGCATTTCTTCTAGAACATTCTGGTGGGGCCTTTGCAGGTTGGGACATGTCAGGCCATCTGTCCTCAGAGGGTGTCTATGAGGACATCGGAGCCTTCCCCATGGAGGAGAAAGACGAGGGACCTGCAGGATCCGGGGACTATGACGATGTGGGAGAGCCTGAGGATGGCGCTGGGGAGGAGGCGGAGGAGGCCAGGGTGCTGCTGAGCCCCGCAGGTGTGCACCTCTGTGCCCTGGCATCCGTGGTGCTCTTCCTGCTGTACTGCTCCTATGCAGAGGGCTCTGCTCTGGCCAGTGCCTACATTTAAAGAACCTGAGAGCTGCTTCTCACGTGTCCGTGACTTTCTCTCCTGTCTCGGGCCTGGGGCGTTAGGACTTCTGGCTGTCCTTTTGAAGCTGCATCTCCCAGGGGTAGATGTGGACTTAGGGAGGTCATAGGTCTATATTTGGGTTGCTTTTGCAGCTGAGCAGTGTCCTTCCAGCACCTTGTCCCGGTCGGCTGCAGGAGGGGCCCTGGGCAGCCCAGGTCACTGTGAGAAGCCATATCACTGTCTCCCGACCCACTGTGTCCCATCCTTGTCCCTTTGAGGCTTTGCTTCCCAGCAAGAAACTGGGAGATGGGAACTCCTGGGCTTTGAGAAATCGCTCAGCACCCCAATGGACCCTGTGTCTGTCTCCCTAAACACAGGTGGGGCTCCTTTCAGCCTGGGCCCCGAAGCTGAGGCTGGGATGGAAGACCATGGTGGCCTCTGCCCCAGGACGTGATGACCTGGAGCTGACAGTGGGGATGTCAGTGTGTGGAGAGAGTGGGATACACCAGGGAAGGCTGGGGTCTTCCTTGTCCTCACTCTCAAAACAGATGTTATTAAACTCTTTTTGAATTCACTCATCCGTCATTAATTCGATCCAGAAACATTCAACAGACACCATGATGGTCCAGGTTCTGTTCTGGGCCCCGCTGTCTGCCTCACCTGGTCCTTTGTCTTCTCGTCTGAGGGCGACTGTGTGTGTCTCCAGTCCACATTGTTTTCCCTGGTTTACTGAGTCGGGATGTGGGCTACTCCTCCTGGAACTCAGGCAGGAGGGTCAGGGGTCTCCCAGTCAGGCAACCTCTTGGATCGTTTCTTGTCTCTGCTGCCACCTGACTTCCAAGGTTAGGGGCCCAACCTTCAGTGTGGCTCCCTGATGAACCACCCCTGGGTTCCTGCCTTTCATCTGCACACACAGTGCTGAGGGGGATGGCGAGGGCTCCGCTGGGCGCTTGGGGTCAGAATCTCCATTTCTTACAGCTGCATGGCTCTGATGGGCCCTGAAGCTTTCCCTGACCATCCTCATTGCTGACCACACCCTCCCAGGACCTAACCCACCAACAATCCCACCCACCCAGGATTCCACCATGCAGGACCCCGTCAGGCATGTTTAGATCTTTTCTGACTTCTTCATCTCAGGTTTCAGCATACTGGTAACACCCAGGTCTAAACATCCAGTGAGTCGTCACCTGTAGGGTCTTTCGGCCTCTGTCTGGCCTCTGTGTTTGCCCTGGCGTGTGGGCAGCGTGCTGTTGGCCTCACTGACACTGGCTCCGTAAGCAGTGAGGACCCCAGCTGCACCCTTGGGGTCTCTCTGCACACTGCCTGCCATCCCCCAAACCCCTCCTCTGTCCCAACTTCCTGGGATTGTGAGGGGGGCCCCTGCTTGGGTCCAAGGACCACCTCGGGTGGAGAAGATAAACCAGAAGCCCCCTTCCTCAGACAGGAAGCCCAATGAGAGTGCTGAGGGGACGTCCAGAGAGCATGGGCAGGGCCTCCGGGCAGAAGTGCGGTGCTGAGGACGTGTGGCCAGCTTCTTGGGGTGCAGCTGGAGCAGCTCCTGATGGAGCTGGGGGCAGAGGCTTACCTACCGTCTGAGCACACCTTACCCTCCGAGAACCGGCAGGGCCTGCTCTCAGGCAACAACCCCTAATCGAGGGTTGGCCAACCTGGTTTGACTCCGTGCGAGGCGTGTCCTTAGGGCAAGGTGGGGGGTAGGGGATGTGGGTGGTCCCTGGGGTGGGTGAGGGTAGGGAGGCATGAGGTGTGTGGAGGGGCCGTGGGGGAGAGAGCAGAAAGGTGGCAGGAAATGGGATGAGGTGTGAGCATGAGACACGGACCTGGAGGACACTTGGGGAGCAGAGTGAAGCTGTCAGTGCCACGGGGAGGACCCTGGTGTCACTGCCGGCTCCAGCCTTGCCGTGTGTGTCGGCCTCGCTCCTCCCAGCCTTGCCGTGTGTGCCGGCCTCGCCCCTCCCAGCCTTGCCGTGTGTGTCGGCCTCGCCCCTCCTGTTTCTTCCCCTCGGTCTCCCAGCAGCAGTGTTTTATGATTTTTTTTTTTTTTTTACAGCGATTGGCACAGACACGGGGACCTAGAGCTGCAAACCCGCCCCCAAGGCCTCCCCAGGGCTTTCACCTTCCTGACTCCACGTGCAGGGCACTAAAGAGGCCCTTTGCAAGTCAGAGTGCCGGGAGGCAGCGGCAGGCCGCAGGCGCGGGGCTCCAGCACACACAGCCTGGCGGACGGGCCTGTGACCTTCTCTGGAAATCTGGTTCCCTCTCACTCTCCTGGTCTCCACATAGAGGTCTAGAAACTGGAGTCACCCTGTCCTGAACTGGTTCTCTGGCAAATCTACTGGAAATTAACCTTTATTGATATTATGCTGCTTATAAAATAATACCATGCTTAATTATTGTACATGTAAAAACAGGCCAGACGGGGTGTGCTGATGCCTGTAATCCCAGCACTTTAAGAGGCCAGGGGAAGTGGGTCACTTGAGTCCAAAAGTTTGAGACCAGCCTGGGCAGCATGGTGAAACCCCGTCTCTAAAAGCATGTAGCTGGCGTATTGACTTGCCCAAATGCGAGTGTTTATCCAGCCGTGCATACACGCTGCCCCTTTCCGGCCTTGCCTCAGACGCCGCATCATTGATTTAATCCTCTGTTGGATTTGGTGGCTTCCCAAGGACACAGCCTCACAGGGAGGCCGTGCATCCCTTACGAATTCGGGTCGCAGGCACGCACGTTTTTCAGAATTTTGCTCCCATTGCTAGGTCTGTGTGTTCACAGCGCATGAGCTTGGCACGACCCTAGGTCTTCAGCCACACCTTTTGTGAGAGGCAGAGAAGGTCCATCCCTCCGCTGCCAGGCCCTGGTGTCAGCACCTGTGGCCACCAGGGCCTTGCTGAGAATGGGCCCTCACTGGTCCATCTCACACCTGGGGCTGCATTGGGCACCAGCTGCAGGAAGCCCAGCCTGGCCTCACCACACGCTGCTGGCACCGTCTGGGCTGAGGCACGGGTGACAGATGACAGCTCTGATATGGGGGGAGGAGGCGAGGGCGTGCACGGGCTTCCTTCTCAGAAAGGTGTCACACTGAGTCGACGTCCACCTTCCATCCGGGGGCAGAACACACATCCCTGCCATGAGAGCATCAGCCTGGGGCACGGCAGCAGCAGAGTGGCCAGGCATGGCATTGTTCCCTCTGGGACTGTGGCCCCTGCTCCTGGCCTGCGGGACCCGCCCTCCCGGTAAGTGTGTGCCGCTGCCTGCAGGGCGCTGGGGGTCAAGCCCGGTGTGCAGGACGTTCCATGGGGGCGGGGGCCACGACACCACAGTGGTCCCGTCTGCTCCTTGCTGTGCATCCTGGGAGCCTCAGCTGGTGACCACAGAGGGCTGGGGTGTCCACTGCGGGGCTCATGAGTGGGCAGAGTGATCACAGTCTTGTTTTCTGGGCCTTCCAAATGCATGTGAAAGGCTGGGACCTTCACTTCATTGAATTTCCTCAGAAAATGGTCCTTAGGCCGTTTTTGTTAACATTTTGTTCATTTTTGTTGATATTTAAGTTTGTTCATGTCATTGGTGACATCCAAATAATGCGCGAGAAAACTTGGGAAAATCGAGTAAGGTGCAAACTGGGCTGGAAGGTGACAGTTAGATTTCTAACTTCGGAAGTTCTGGGCATAAAGTACTCAAGGGTACCTTTGCCATGACGCCTTTCCTATGTTCTTGTCCCCGAAGCTCCCGCTGCAGAGTCCCTGGCCCTGGTGAGGGGTGGAAACCGCTGCGAGGGCCTCCTGCAGGTGCAGTCCCTGGGGCAGCAGGGCCTGGTGTGTGGGGACCACTGGGGCCTGCGGGAGGCGTCTGTGATTTGCAGGCAGCTGGGGTGCGGTCGCGCCCTCTATGTCCCCACGTATGTGGTGTGGCCGCAGGAGGCTCAGCAGTCCTTGCTGCAGGGCGTGCAGTGCCAGGGTGTGGAGGCCTCGCTCTGGGACTGCTCCCTGGGGAAGTGGGGGTCACTGAACGGCTGTGAGTGTGAGTGCATCGGTGCAGTCCACTGCTCAGGTAGGACGGGTGCCCCGGGAGCCACTTCTGCCAGTCTGTGGCCCTGTCCCCGCCCACGACCTTCACTTTGGGGAGGAGGGGTGTTGCCTGAGTCCCCCCGGGTGGAAGACAAGACCCTTCTTCCTGGGGTGCCTGTGACTCCAGTGCTGTGACCCTCAGACCCTCATGGCACTGTATGACCCCACGTGTGTCCCCTCCAAAGGCCCAGACGGCACAGCACAATTGAGGAACATATTACACACCGAGGCCATCCCTGGCCGGGACCCCAGCCCGAGTTCAGTCCTTTTGGGTTCAGTTGACTCATGGCAACCATCAAACATTGGGGGCCAGTGGTGACCACAGGACCTTGTGGGGTGAAGGGTCCCTCTCTTCCTCCCCTGAGTGGCTGGCACGAGTGCAGGCACCGGCCTGGGGGCTCAGGCAGGTGCGGAGGCTGGTGCTGAGCGAGTTGCTCCCTCCTGGCCCTCATCTCGGCTTTCTGCTCCTGTGCTCTCCCTTGTCAGGGCCCACTCAGGAGGCTCTGAGCTCCTGGATCTGCCCCAGATTTCAGCAGCCCTGTCCTGCTCAGGCTCTGGCTGGGACCCTGCCCTTTCCCCTCTGCTGGATTGTTGGTGGGAAGCAGAGGCTCAAAGTGGCATGTGTGAGGATAGATGAGGGGCATTGACACAGGCAAGGAGAGGCCACTGGCACCAGAGGGCCTTGGCCTGCAAACTCCAAGGCATGAGCTCCAGAACCAGAGACAGCTGGCCCTGTATGGAGACCACTGTGGGGGTATGACCAGGCCTGGGATACTGGCCTGCAGGACCCCTCAGAGAGGAGCAGATGGGCCGATCTCCTACGTGCTGTCCTCCCCACTTGATGGGCCCTCCTGTGGGCAAGGCCCCAGAAGCCAGAGGGCATGGAGCTTATCCTGCCATCTATGCAGGTGGCCTCTTGGGCACAGGGTGGTGGGGAGAGGGGACCTAAAGTGGGCAGGTATAGTCTCTGGCTGCCCCCTCTGGGGTCCTGGGCCCGAAAGAAAGGCCTCTGCTGCAGACCCCCACACACCTCATCCTCCAACAAAGGCCACTGCCTCAGTCCACACGTTAGGGGTGGGAGGACCAAGCCCCAGGAGAACTGAAGTGGAACCAGAGTGGGCACCTGTGTGTGCAGGAGGAAAGCTGGCCTCCTTGGGGCTGCGTGGTGGAGGCAGCCCCTGTGCGGGGACCCCTGTGATCCGGATAACAGAAGGCCCTGTGATAAGCTGTGGCTTGCACCAGAAGGAGGCCAGTGTCTTCTGCAGAAGGCTGGGGTGCGGCCCAGCGCTCCAGGCATCCAGGCCCCACCTCACAGGGCACCCAGGCTGGCTGGGTTCGAAAGTCATTTCCTGCCAGGGAACAGAGTCCAGCATCTTCAACTGCAGGTTCAACCTGAACTTCCTAGACCACTGTGACCTCCCAACAGACTCTGAGGTGGTGTGTGCAGGTACGGACGCCCTTTCCTGAAAATCTCTGAGACGGGAGGTGTCCATTCAGAGCAGTGTGCTGGGACTGAGGGGATGGCCCTGGCCTACAGGGTGTGGGGGTCTTGTCTCCTGGGGCTTCAGCACCTGCCCAGCAAGGCCCCTATGCTGCTGCCCTCCTGTACCCCTGTCTAGGGGAGGGAGAGGGGCTGGTGGCCCAGGGGTCACCTGGGGAGATGGCTGACACGGATGGCAGCTCCTCCCTCGGGGCTCTGGCCAGGGTGTGGCTGGGCACTGGGCTTAAAACTGACCAGGTGGTTACAGTGGCCTGCCAGGGTCCGGGTCCCAGCCTGGGAGTGGGCTCCATGACACAGATGTGGGGGCCCCAGGCCCCGGGATAGACATCCTTGTTTTGGGGTGGGGACTGTTGCTGTCTGAATTCTGCCGGAGCCAGGACCCCAGGGAGATGGGAGGGTGGCAGAGGCCTCGGCCTGCACACCCCAGGACCTCTCCTGCTGCTTCAGAGCCCCAGGGGCCGGGCCAGCCTCGGTGGTCCTGGGTCCTCCTGCATCGGTCCTTTCCGTGGGACCCGAGGGCAGCGGTCAGGTCGCTTCATCCCAGAGGCCTACACCGAGCAGGTCCTGCCCTGTGCTCCAGCCCAGCGTCTGCCCCCAGGACACACCGAGGCCCGGCTGGTGGGCGGCGAGCACCCCTGCGCCGGGCGCCTGGAGGTGAGGCGGGGCCTGACCTGGGGCACCGTCTGCCACGCGGACCTGGACCTGGCCACGGCCCACGTGGTGTGCCGGGAGCTGCAGTGCGGGGCGGCGGCGTCCACGCCCGAGGGCGCCCGCTTCGGCCAGGGCTCGGGGCCGGTGTGGACGGAGGCCTTCCGCTGTGCGGGCAACGAGTCGCTGCTGTTCCACTGCCCGCGGGCGCGCGGGAGCCAGTGTGGGCCCGGCCGTGACGCGGGGCTCAGGTGCACGGGAGAAAGTAAGTCACCCGGGTCCGGGCAGGGAGGCCGGGGCTGTGGGGCGGGGGCAGCGCTCAGTGCCATGTGGGGCGCGGGCACCGCCACTCCCTGGACACCGAACCTGGCGCTCACGCCCTGGGCCTGGGGCTGCTGGGACCCCAGCTTTCTTCCTCCCTCCCTCCGTCCCTCCCTCCCTCCTTCCTTCCTTCCTCCTTCCTTCCTCCCTCCCTCCCTTCTTTCCTCCCT